TATATATATACAATATGTATGCATGCATACATCTGTATGTAAATACATGTACATTGTGCATATTTACATGTTTTCACATGCCTATAGCCAGTATGGGTAGAAATACAACAGAGACAAAGCATGCAGGACATCATATCGGTGAGCCAGGAGGTCTGAAAAGCAGCTAACAGTTGTGGCAAGGAGCCGAAGCTTCATATATTTGGGGCTGTCAAAGGCTGGAGTGCTTAAGCGCATGCAAGCTCGCTGCATGTACAATATGCATGCGAATCTCATCAGCACGTTCTTCGTGCACTGCACATCGTATGCCAATCTCGGAGGCAGGGGAGGTGAAGCTGAGAAACAGGTGCGTGCTCAGCGTTGCTGCAGAGGGGAAGCGTCCTTCGTCCCCGCCAGTTGGCAAGGCGGATGCTTCTTCGGTCTCTGGATTGCAGCAACAACGGCAGCAACCGCAGCAGCAAGAGTAGCAACAGCAACAGCAACCGCAGCAGCAAGAGCAGCAGCAGCACCAGCACCCGCACCAGCAACAGCAACCGCAGCAGCAACACCAGTAACAGCAGGGGCAACAGGCAGGGGCAGCAGCAGCAGCAACAGCAGCAGAGGCAACAGCAGCAACAGCAACAGCAAAAGCAACAGTACAAGCAACAACAGCAACAGCAAAAGCAACAGTACAAGCAACAACAGCAACAGCAACGGCAAAAGCAATAGCACAAGCAGCAACAGCAGCAACAGCAGCAGAAGCAACAGCAGCAGCTTTGATGAGGGGCCCAAGAAACAAATGCTCCTTCAGGAGCAGCGGCAGCGAGCCTCACTCTGTCTCATGCCAGTTTTGCAGAGTCGCTGATTGCCGATGGAGAGCGACAGGCGACGATGCAGCGAGATAAATACCTTATGGAAATGCAGCAGCAGCCTGTAACGTTGGAGCAGCAAGAGCAGCAGCTACCACCGGCTAAGCAGCAGGAGGTGCAAAAGCAGCAGCAGGAGTTGCAGCAACAACAGCAGCCCTTAATGGCGAGAGACAACAGTTTATGCGTCCCTCCTGAAGTTATATTTGGGCAGTATGGGCCCCCCTCTGGCCAACGGTCGCTGGAGGCCTCTCCTGGTGTCAAAGCCATGAAACAAAGACAATTCCCCTTTCGCGCCTTCACCGCCAACTCAGCGGAGAATTCAACCACTGCCACCTGTAGAGTGTACAAGAACCCCTCTTTTGCTATGCGCAGACAAGCAAGTACATATATATATATATATATATATATATATATATATAT